AGGTCGCTGCCCCTCCCTCTCTCTCTCTCTCTCTCTCTCTGCCAAAGCGGGAACATTCATTCCCGCTTTGCTTTTCTGTCGCAAAGCGGGAATGAACCCGTTCGTTTTTCTTATTTCTTTTTTTTTTTTTCATTTTTTTTTGCCGTTTCGTTTTTTTTTTTCGTTTTTTTTCTTCCCGTTTTGGATGCCTGCGCCCGGTAGTCCGAGCCTCGGCACGGATCGCCGTACCGGTCGGCCGAGCCTCGGACTCGATAGCTGGGCCACGTACTGGTGGTTTAACAACGGGTAGGTACTGGTGGTTTAAAACGGTGTGTGGCGTTCTTTTCTCATTTAAAACGGTGTGTGGCATTCTTTTCTCATTTAAGACGGTGTGTGGCGTTCTTTTCTCATTTAAAACAGTGTGTGGCGTTCTTTTCTCGTTTAAAAACGCATAAACAACGCTAGCAAAGAAAAGGACCCAAAAAACGAAAAATCACGGTGCCTCACATAGACATCATCACAGGCTGTGCATCCACACTTCCACGGAAATAATATTCTCAATTTCTGTGAAAAAAAAATAGCAAGGCGCGAAGGTTCAAAAACACCCCCCGTCTAAATGGCCAAAGTATTGAAGCTTCGCGCCAACGCAACGTGGCCAACTAAATGGCCAACAAATGAATTTTAAAACTTCTACTGGCCGATGGGCAGCTGCCGCCACGAAGACAAAGACAATCGACTTTAGCAGTCGATACGCTACTGGATCAACGGCTGACGGATGTCGCGGACGGCCGCACGTGGTCAAACGGAGGAGCACAAGCATAAATCGGACCTAGTCGTTCCTGCTTTGTCGCTCTTGATGTCGCCCCTCTCTTTTTTTTTTTGATTTCGCTCCTCTCCTCTCTCGTCCCTCGTCCCGATTTTTTTTTATTTTTTTTTTCGTCCCGATTTTCAGAGTGTCTTTTTCTTCCACTTTTCAAACGTGTCACTCGATTGCTTCTCTCTCTCTCTCTCTCTCTCTCTCTCTCTCTCTCTCTCTGTCTGTGTATTGAAATTGTGCCAAATCGGAGGAAACCCCTTCGTCCCAATCCTTTAGGGTGTCGCTCCACACGTCGCTGGCCTTTTTTCCACGTCGTGTCTCGTCCTCTCCAGCCTCAGCCTTAGAGACTCTCTCTCTCTCTCTCTCTCTCTCTCTCTCTCTCTCTCTCTCTCTCTCTCTGTGTCTGTCTCTGTGTCTGTCTGTCTGTCTGTCTGTCT